TTAAGAAAGAAAAAGATTGTGCTTTCATTAATATTCTCTTGTTACTGTTGTTGTTTTGTGTGCTATCATTATTGCCATTATTATTACTTTTATTATTATATTATCATTATTACTATTATTGTTATTATTGTTGTTGCTGTTGTTGCTTCATATGCTATTATTATTGTCATTATTACATGTTTATTATAATATTACCATCATTATCACTATTGTTGTTATTGTTGTTGCTGTTATCATCATCATCATCATCATCATCATCATCATCATCATCATCATCATCATCATTCTTGTTACTGTAGGTGCTCCTCTTGGTTGTTCCTGTTGGCAAGTTTACTGTTGCTATGATGGTGCCACTGTCGTCAGTACCGCTGGTGCTGGTCTTGTCAACGATGAAGATAATTTACGTGTATGAGTTAATAGTGGTTGTGTTGTATTAGCGCACTGTTTGCTGTCCTGGGTATTTCGATGTAAAAGTAACATCGCTGTTACACGAAAGTAGAACCCATTGGCAGACTCAACATGGACGACGCATCAACGGTAAAATATTCTGTAGCAACAATTAATGATCTATCAACCTCCAATATTAGAGGGAGACAACCTAATACAGAATTTGTATTTGTCGAGAGACGCCTGCTTAATGCCCCTGTCTGTCCCCTATGTCTTCAGAAGTAAAACAGTATTGTGAGACATTGTGGTGAAATCAGACGCTCATCAAAATAATGAAATCAAAAGAACCAACATTTTTCTGGTCGTGGGGCAATTTTATTTTTATTTTTACTTTTTTTTGGGGGGGGGGGATGGGGGGCTGTGCACATTTCCTGTCCTTTTAGAAACTCCTTTCTGGGTGTATTTTACTAAAACATACTGATCAAAGTCAAAAGCACAAAAAATTGTTCATTTGCAGTTCAAGAACACTTTAGAAACCTTTGAAGGTACCCAAACTGGGAGGCCATTTTCTCCCTAACGTCACATCTAACACCAGGCAACCATCACCTCCATCAGTTGCAAACATCTCTACTTCTTTTCAAGATAGATTGGTATTTGTTCCACCAAAAGCAAGACAAATGAACAAGTTTAAGATGATACCAATAACGCCTCATGCCCAAAATTTGACGAGCGTCTAATTCCACCCTGTTATGACATATAATCATTAATTACTACCCGTCAATGTATAATGCATTGATATGATGATCGTTAGTTCCACAGGGTGACGGGGAGATAAACGTTTGACAACAACCCGGTTATATTGCCGTCCGTTCCGGGCTGGATTATAACTGCCTTGTTTTATGGTTTAGTTATGGGGGAACACGGGAGCTAATGATTTGTGTACATACATTACGAAGGCGTCCCAAGGAGAAAAAGTATCCAGTATGGGATGTCTAGTTTTGTTGTTGTTGGGTTTTTTTTATTAGAGGTTTTACGGCGCTCGCAACACAATACGGTGATATGGGCGCCAGAAGATAAGAGGTGTTACAAGAGTCGAGTAACAAACATAAAAAGAAGAAGGGGAGAAAAGGACGATAGAAGGAGCAAACCACAACAGAGCACCCGCCAACCACCCACGATGTTTAGTTTTCAGAGGAAATAAATTGTTTTGAACTATATGATGTCTTGTTGATTCAAAGCATTTGACCAGTACTGTATATCTTTCCAGGAGAATTAACAAAATAACGATTTTTTTTATAACTCGCTGGCGCAGTATATAAATACGTTTGTACTTTTAACTGGGAAATAATTTAAGGTACAGACTCATTTTGAATAAGAAGTATAATAATACTAGACCAATCCTAATCTTCGTGTTCATTGGCACCTATTCTGTAGTCTGGCTGAAGTTAGGGCACCACTGTACATTTTACAACCAGATTCTTCTATCCAATATTTTAGATGATAGTAAGATGTATCAATCACGGCCAGCACAATCATTGATGATGTCTTTCTATCGCTTCTTTTGTCGCCTCTTTTTCCTCTTTCCTTGTTAACACATTAACATACAGACCAGATACTTCGCTGTCTCTGGGTGGGTACCCATATTCACCATGGTGAAGTGAGAAAAATTCTGAGTAAAGTACCTTTCCCAAATGGCCACTCTTCCGCAAATAACTTTTTACCTTTATCAAGGACGCAACGCCGAGTTTGAGTCTCGAACCCCCGAACCCGCAGCCTCACGATTATTAGTACCGTAGCCTTACCACTTGACCACCGACGCCACTGGGTAAACTGCCTCGCTTTTTGTGGCATGAATTATTAACACATAGTCAAGTTGTGGTGTAGCGGTAAGGCGCTTTATCTTCGAAAGCAGTAGATTGAGTTCGATTCCCGTGCGGGGAGCTAATATTATGGGGTACTTGTTGGGATGTTGAGTTCCTTTCAGTTCCTGTCGAGTATCTCGGTTTATCTGCTGGGACGTCGCATCCATCTCAACCAAGGTTTGGCTTTGATAGGGATTCAACCTTGAGATTGCTTCTCTGTATGGTATGACGTTGAACGCAAACAAAAAGGCTTTCTTATCCTGCTATTTATCTGTGCATAAACCACAGTCAATGTTGAGAATGTATTTTGTCACGAAAGAACTGCGTTTTTTGCACGTTCAGGGGGCCTACTGTGCGCCGGACAGTGTTGAAGGCTGAAGATTGTGTCGAGATAGGAGGGTTAATGGGTACAGATTTTATCGGCATTATTTGAGAGAGTTAATGGCTGTTGTTTATACTTGCCTAGACTCCCTGTCCATTAAGCTGCACGTTAACTCTTTTCTCCTTGTTTTCCTTTTGAAATCAGCGCCATCATATCAAATGCCCATACTTTTAAAATCTTTGTTATC